TTGGTTTAAAGTATCTCTAAACAATTGAAATTAGCTACATTTTATCATGATAATTCTACTACCATAATATTTCCAATTACATCATAATAAAATGAATTTATCATGATATTTTAAAGCTTCTCACTATTATCTACGTAACGTTCGTAGAAAAAGCAATTCTAAAAATTTCAAAATGGAGAAAGAAACCTGGAAACAATTTACAAAATTGATAAGGGATGGTATAGAAATTTTCGAGAGATAGGAACTCTTTTGAAAAAATAATTATACCTCATACAATTCCTTATGACCGTTCTTTCATTATATATATAATGATAATACAATGGTGTAATATGCACTTTCCTATATTGTTGCATATAGAGTTAATTACGTATAGACCTTAAATAAGTTACAAAAATACGACTTGCGCCCTTTATGCCCAAAAATTATAACCAAGGTCCGTCAACACGATTTTTTTTTTTGATAGAATTATCCCTCGGTCCGAGGATGCCATCATCAGACCACTTATTTTGGGTCAAAACTTAAGTTGCAGTCCGAGGATGGCATTTTCAGACCGCTTTTCTTTTTTAAACCTTAAGTTTTGGTCTGAGAATGCTATCCTTATACTGCAACTTTAAGTGTTGGAATAAACAAGCGGTCTGGGGATGTTATCATCGGACTGCTACTTTAAGTTTTTTTTAAATAAAAGCGGTCCGCGGTCCGAGGATGGCATTCTCGGACAGCTTTTTTTTTTTTCCTTTAAAGCTGAAATTTTAGTTCGAGGTTGAAATCCTCGGACTTCAACTTAAGTTTTGAAAAAAAAAGCGGTCCGAGAATGCTATTCCTGGACCGCAACTTTTAAGTTTTGAAAGAAAAAAAAAACAGTCTGAGGATGCCATCCTGGGACCAAGGGGGTAATTTTGTAAAAAAGGAAAAGAGGAAAAAGGTCGTGTTGATCGACCATGATTGTAACTTTCGGGTATAAAGAGAGCACCTCGTACTGTCCTAACTATTTAAGGTTCGTACGTAAATAACTCTTACATATAATATACACTTTCCTATTTGTGTTACATTCTACAATGGCAATATTTTGTTTTTATTACTCCCCCTCAAACTCAACTGGAGAGGCATCTGAAGCTCGAGTTTGAAGCAAAGATATTGAAAAACATTTAATAGTAAAGGCTTGGTGAAGATATCAACTACTTGATTGCGAGAAAAAACAAAACGAGTGACATGTACTCCAAGAGCAACCTTTTCACGCACAAAATGATAGTCTAACTCAATGTGTTTTGTCCGTGCATGAAAAACAGGGTTAACTGTCATGTAAAAAGCACTAATATTATCACAAAAAAAGTGTTTTTGGTTGAGGAATAGGCAACTCAATATCTCGAAGAATAAAAGAAAGCCATGTCAATTCTGCAGCAATGGATGTCATAGATTGGTATTCCGCTTTAACGTTGGAACGAGCCACAGTTGGCTGTTTCTTAGCACTCCAAGATTTGCAATTGGAACCAAGATAAATGCAGAAACCAGTGGTTGAACAACGAGTGGTTGGAGATTCTGCTCAGTCTGCATCAGAGAATGCATATAACTCAAAGGAACTAACCGATAAAATTCTTATTTCACATGATTGTGTACCATTGAGAGAGAAGGCATATAACTCTAAGGGAACTAACCGATAAAATTCTTGTACCACATGATTGTGTACCATTGAGATAACAGGGAATTCACTTAACTGCTTGAAAATGGGCAATTGTAGGGACATGCATAAATTGACAGACTGTATTAACACTATGGGAAATGTTTGGCCATGTTATAGGAAAGAAGGTGCTAGGTAGAGATGATAAAGATGAAAGGTTGAAAAGATAAAATAAAGACTCTTGCAACTCCTTATCTCATATGCAATAGCGATAAAGAAGATGCTAGGCAAAAATAATAAATACGAAAGACTGTATGCAAGAGCAAAAAGCTAGAAATTAATAAATCCGGAAGACTGAAAATACTCAAGACGGAAGGCTGAAAATAGAGAGAGGCTTATTTTGGGAGAGGAACGGCTTCAAGGTTGAGGGTTGAGAGGATCGATATTGCTCTAATGCCATACAGAAATTTTAGAGAGAGAGGAACCCTTTTGAGAAAATAATTATGCTCCACACAATTCCTTATGGTGGTTATTTCATTATATACATAATGATAACACAAAGGTGTAATATCCACTTTTCTATCTTATTATATGTAATATACACTTTTCTATTTGTGTTACATTCTACAATGGCAATATTTTGTTTGTATTAGATGGGCATGATAAAGCTATTAGGTTTGATGATGATTTTTTCTCATCAACGATGTCATTGGTAAAACTTGTAACACATTTATCCTTTTTATTGTGTATAAATCGAACTCATAATTACTGATTTTTCAATAAAAAACTAGTTCATAACTAATGAAACATTCCAAATAATTATCTAATAAAATTCTACATTAAAGATAATAATAATAAAATTCCTATAAAAAAACACACATGATAAAACCTTAAATAATAATATCTCAAGAAGGATAGTAGACACCAAACTATACACTGCGCATGGCGTGTGATTAAATGAACTATAGGACTCCATGGATCATACATCATGGACTCTAGGGGTGGCAATAGACCCAACTAGATTTGGGACTCGACAGGTAGACCCGACCTTGGGTTGAGGTATGGGTCCAATTTTTGGATCTAAAAGGTTGGGTTCAAGTCCAAAATCTAGACCCGTCCACCTGAACCGGACCCAGATAATATGGGTATATGTGGGTATTCATAAATGTTGCTAATACAATTACTTCTTAAGAATCTCCAGTTATTATGTAAAACAGTAAGGAATGTGGGTATATGTAATGTGGTATTCATAAATTATTGTAAATGTCGCCAAGAATATGGGTATATGATGGTTAAAAAAAAGGGCAAGGCAAAAAAAGAAGAAGGATAAGCTCATAGTCATAGGGTGGCCATGGATCCGATCAGACCCAAGACCCAACGTATAAACCCTACCTCGGGTCTGGGTAAGGGTCCAAATTTTGGACCCGAAAGGTCGGGTCTAGGTCCAAACCTGGCCTGGATGCTATTCGGGTTTGGGTCCAACAGTACCTGACCCGACCCCGATCCAACCCGTTCCCACACTTAATGGATTCTCATTGATAGGCCGGGAATGGTTTGGGCCAGCCCCGGTCTCTTTAGGGCTACCCCGAACCCTACTAGGACAAGGTTTAAAGAGGCTCTTGCCTATGCCAATTAGGGTCGGCTTAGGCCAGACAAGAAAAAAAAAAGAAAAGAGAAAAAGAGTGAACAGAATGTCGCCGGGCGAGAATATATCAATCATCTTGACTTAAACATTATGGTTGTGAAAAAAGAAAAGGATTTCAAGCTCTAAAAATAGTGTATATTGTAACAAATTATCTAGATCGTCCATTTCGCCCTAAAAGTATGTGTTCATAGATCCGCAAGATCTATACCAATTTTTGAAGTTCGAATTTCAATGTCAATGTTGGAAATTGATTTTAGAGCCATCATGGAGATTTCAATTGTTGAAAGTGGTTTTCGGATGAGGATTTGAAGTGAGGATTTATTTTGTTTTCATAAATCCTAGGCCTTATAGAAACCTCTTCCATTAAGAGCGTTACATTACTTAAATTCTTCCATTGAATAGATGGTGTTGCAAGTACAACAACAGGATAATTTTATTCTCATGACTAAAAAATGGACATCCAAACGACACCTTAAATTATTTCACCATTAAAATGTCCAAAATATTGGGCCTAAAAAGCCTAAACCATTGTTTATTAAGTTGTTCATCGGATTTATCTTTAGATATATAGCATCATGCTATACCAATCATGAGATAAAACTTTTGGAACATTGTCTAAACCGACATCTTCTACTTTGTAGCATCTTATAAAAAGTCATCCTTTAGGGATTACAAGAAACCAACCACTAAATATGGTTGATGGCAAAATACATAAGGTTGACGACTAAAAGATTTAACAATACCATGAGACACTTATTCTACCATAAAAGATTTAACAATAGTATGAGACACTTGTTCTACCATAGTCAATGAAACCCTGGCCCTAGTAACCTCCTCACCACTTGAAAAGTTTGTTCCTTCATGAGGCATTTGAAGATTTACACAAACCACTAGAGGGCTTCTCACACTGTGGTACCCATCAAACCACATTATCTCTCCAAAATCATACCTCCCCTTTGAATACTTGGTTGGAGTAAGGGTCACATAATATGATAATTTTTGTAGATGCTTAGTGAAAATCAAAACATTTGGCCACACTTGAACTTCCACACCTTCAGGGCTCACAAAATCCGCAAAGTAAATGGCTCTCTTCTGTCCCACATTAGTTAGGGTCCTTTTGATAGTTGCCCTAGATTGAAGATTTGGCACTGTTATTGATGGATAATTGAGGTCTTCCATCTCGAATGAACTAAGTTTTGAGCAGTCTATTTTCACTTGGTTCACAAGTTTTCCTATTTGTGCTTCATTGTATCCCAGTGCACATAGGAAGGGGACATAGTCCAAGGCATCAAGGTCATAAACAAGGCCTGGATCAAAGGCTTTCAAAGGGTTGACATGTCCAGCTCCTATATCAAAAGGATCAACTGCTTTCACAGTTCCTCCTGCTAGGATTCTATCTCCACTTGTGTCTCTTGTGTAAGCTGCGCAACAAGGATATGGGTCAGGGGAAAACAATAAAAAAAACCATAAGATTATAAAATCCCATGGGAGCATATATGTCCTACATTCACTCCCTCTGGTAAAACTCTATCTTATAATGCATTTAGGACAACATATTTATGGGAAGTACCCTCTCTAACCTATTAACCACCCCGACTAAAAAAAGTAAAAAGGATCGCGAGCATTTGATAAAAAAAAATGTACTTAATTTGAAGAAATTGTCCAAAGATAATCCAATTTTTGCATTATAGATTTAAGTGTCAACTAACGGCAAAATCTATTTCCTTTTGGTAAAGATATTCAGAGACTATATATTTTTAGTACAAGGATATCAAAATCACTCTTGTACATCGGATTTTAAATCAGGTGATTGTGATTGTCATTGGCTTGTCTCAAAGTTCAAAAATAAATTTTTTGAACTTCGTGACACCCAAGCCATCCAATTTGACTTCTGATAGCTCGGATAAATTGTGTACCTCTTGTCATAAAGATAAATAGTCTCATAGTATACAATCTCTTTTCGTTTTCTCTTTCAAAATACTCATCTTGTGATCCTAAATGGATCTCAAAACTTCAAATTGAGATCATCCTTCTAAGTAGGGTTTTTGCTCATGGGAGTATGTGTACAATGTTGTCATGGAAGTTGATGCAAATAATATTAAGGTTATTTTAATTTTTTATTATTCTTTTGTTTATCCCTTTCAGATGTGCGTAAGGATAATTAGGGGTAATTAGGGTGGGTAAGAGTTTATATTATCTTTATCTTATATAGGTAATATGTAAATAATACAAGGGTTATTTTAATTTTTTATTATTCTTTTGTTTATCTCTTTAGATGTGTGCAGGGGTAATTAGGGTGGGTAAGAGTTTAAATTGCGTTTATTTTGTACTAGTTAAATGGGTAATTAGAGTGGGTAAGAGTTTATAGATAATGTTAAATTAGGGGAGTTAGTTAAATCTAAGGGGATTTTTATTAAGAATGTTTTAGATAAAAACGTGGGAAGCATGGCTTTGGATAACATGTAGAAAATCTTATCTTTTTTGGTACGTGATGGTTAAAGAAGAAGATATTGATGATAAAAAAACTAGGTTAAGAGAGAGAAAATAGAGGGAGAGATAAAATAGAGAAGTCCATTGTCTATATTCTTTATTAAATTTTTAGTCTATTTAAGGGGACGTTTCCCTTCATTGTAAAAAAAAAGTGAATGAGTTAATAAAATTTGGTTTTGTGAAGAGATTTTTTGGGGCGGATTCCCTCTCAGACTGTATATTCTCTCAACCTTGGGGTGAATTCCCTTGTAGACCTTAAGAGATCGTATATTCTCTCAATCTTGGGATGTATTCTCTTGTAGAACTTGAGAGATGATATATTCTTTCAATCTTGGGATGAATTCCTTGTAGACCTTAAGGTATATTCTCTCAACCTTGGGGTGAATTCCCTTGCAGACCCGAGAAAGAATATTGGGGTGAATTCCGTCACAAACCTTGAGAGAGGGTATAATCTCTCAACCTTGGGGTGAATTCCCTTGCAGATTAGAGAGAGGATATATTCAGAGGATATGTTCTCTCAACCTTAGTCTGAATTCCCTCTCAGACCTTGAGAGATGATATATTCTCTCAATCTTGGGGTGAATTCAATTCCCTTGTAGACCTTGAGAGAGAAAGTGAATTCTCTTGTAGACTTTGAGAGATGATATATTCTCTCAACATTTTTCTTTTATTTTTATAGTGTTATTATTGCTCTGCATTAATTTGCGTCAATTAGATCAGTTGCAACTTTTTGTATTCAACAATTACTCTTGGAACACAGAACACAGTTGAAAGCATCAGTCTTGAAGAAATTGAAGAAAACGTACCAAGGCTCATGGTGGGACTTCATTACCAGGACTTCATTACCAACTTTGAGCTCGAGGTCGAGCTTCTCCCAACCCAAGAGAATGATGCAAATAGTATTAGGGTTATTTTAATTTTTTATTATTCTTTGTTTATCCCTTCATATGTGCGGGATAATTAAGGGTACTTAGGGTGGGTAAGTTAGTTTAGGAAGGTAAACACATAAGGTTAAATTAGGGGAGTTAGAGTTTTATTAGGAATGTTTTAGATAAAAACGTGAGAAGCATGGCTTTGGATAAAACGTGGAAAATCTTATCTTTTTTGCTACGTGATGGGTACGTGATGGTTAAAGAATGAAGATATGGATGATCAAGAAACTAGGTTAAGAGAGAGAAAATAGAGGGAGAGATAAAATTGTCTATATTCTTTATTAATTTTTTAATCTATTTAAGATGACGTTTCCCTTCATTGTAAAAAAAAGTAGATGAGTTAATAAGATTTGGTCATTTTTTAGGGTGGATTCCCTTCAATTTGCATCAATTGGTATCAGAGCTGCATTAGAAGTACACAGTCGGAGCGGAGCTTATAAATAAAAGGAAAAACAAAAAATATAAAGATTAGCCATTTTATAAAACAAAAAAATTGATTCCAATAAGAAAACTGGGAACGATTCTAACATGAACATATCAAATTCTCAAATCAAGTTTTACAAGCCAAGAAATTTTGGGATTTAATTTAAGAAAGGCACACTATAGGCAAGTGGTGTATGGTAATAAGGTGCATATTCAAACATCGACCGTTATTCACTCATTATCAATGGAGGAGGGTAGAGATTAACAGTTAACTCTAAGTGATGTTTCAGTGTATGGTGGATGCCATAGTACTGTAGATATTGGGATGTTGGACTTTGCAAACACCTTCATCTTAGAAAAACTCAAATTTGTCATAGACAAAAAGATGTCTAAGTGCCCCATGTCTTTATGAAATGCCAAGGCAAAAAAGAGTTAAGTTTAGCTTGTTTGCACTCTTGGTTACAAATTTCAAATGTCCAAATCCTAAAGCTCCCTTTATCCAAACTGATATATATATCTACCACTGTAATTCTGGTGTCAGAAACCTTATGATGGCTTGAAATCAATGTTAAATCTTAATTATGAAGCTTAAAATTCTAAAAATAGTGTAGATTGAGTATATCTATAAATACTTGAAAATATATGGTTCAGCCAACTTGTTACAAGACGCACTATTGTTAGGACTTGAAATGCTTTTTTTTCTTTATATCTATACATCTGGAGGTTGAGATGATCAATTAGAAGGTTTTTCAACTTTGAAATAATCTTTTCTATTGGGTTTTTGAGGTGGACCATAGTTATGTATTATAAGGTTGCAACCTTATATAAGCTTTTTCTATAAAATAACAATAATAACAATAATTATAATAAGAATCGTTATTCTCACCTGTTGTCATTAGAGCTGATTTAATGGCCGCAGGGCTCCAATATGGGTGTGCAGACTTGAGCAGAGCAACTATCCCAGCTACATGGGGACATGCCATCGAAGTTCCTGATAATAAGTTCCAATTTACAATACGTCTGTCTATGGGTACTGAGGAAGGTGGAAGAATGGGTGGCCAAGCAGCCAATATATTCACCCCAGGACCACTTAAATCCGGCTGCACCACAATAATATATTCATGCACGATTGAACCTCAGCATATAATATTTGTTTTGTGTGTAAGCTACAATCCTTACAATTAGGAGACCCAAAAGATTTTTTCTATTTTGTCAGGTTTAGAGCTTCCGCGCACAAAATATGTTTGGGTGGTTGTGGTTCATGGGAAATAATTATTATCTTGATATCCATACAAAGGTACTCAAGGAGAAATATGATATGAAAACTATATGGGAGAAAACCTGATTGAAAGAAACTTTTCATGATATAGCAATTCAAGAGAAAATAGGCATTTGAATACGACAGAGAGAGGGAGAGAAAAGGGGGGAGACTAAAATAAACTTTTCATGCTATAGATTGATTTTAATGTGAATTTTTATGTCATCATTATCATTTCTTGAAAAATATCATTTAAGGGGCCAAGACCTTAAAAAAATCATTGAAAGGGGTTAAAACATTCCAATTGGTACTAAAGGGTTTACTTTTTATGTTACAGTTCACTCAAGTATCTTGAAAATTATCTCACAAATTTCATGGTTGGGAAATGTTGAACAGTGATATTTAAGTAATTAGACCCACCCAAGAGGTCCCAACTAAATGAAAGGCCTACCTTTGCATGTTCAAGATGAGTTACTGAAATGTTATAACTAGTTCAGGTTTCTAACCCTAAACAAGCGCCATTGGGCATTTTTTAAAATAGTATTTGAGGAGGTACCCTAGTTAAATGAAAATCAAACAATTGGGATCTTTTGATCTTTTTTACAAAAGGGTTCTTAAATGATATTTCCCCTTTGTCTTTTGCAAATGAATTTAGCAGTTAGGTTTGTCTTTTAGGAATGCAAAATCTTGAATGCATAGGTCACCAACTATAAAGGGATCACCTTGAGTATGGCTGGAGAGAGTGAACTTGGTCCCCTTGAGGAAAAGTAAGCGACTTTAGGTGCTGGACCATCTTCTACACTCGTTCTGCTTGGATTAATCTGCACACTTGGATTCCTTGTGGTCCAAATGATTCTATTAGTACTATAAACTAAGATAGAAATTCATTTGTTTTTTGTTTTTTGTTTTTTCTTTTTTCTTTGCCCCTTTTTTTTTTTTACTTATATAGTTTTTGTTCCATTTTTTATATACTAAGTGGGAATGCAAAAAAAAGAGAAAGAAAAATAAAATAGAAAAATGAAATAAAGAAGACCAACTTTTAGAGAAGAAATGATATAAAACAAATAATAAACACACGTTTTAGAGAGGAAAATGAGAGAACAAATAATGAAGACATATTTCAGTGAAGAAAATGAGAAAATAAAAAAGAAAGACACATTTCAGTGAAGAAAATGAGATATAAATAATGAAGGCATAATTTAGTGGAGAAAATGAGAAAATAAAAAAGAAAGAAAAAAAGAAGGCACATTTCAGTGAAGAAAATGAGATATAAATAATGAAGGCATAATTTAGTGGAGAAAATGAGAAAAAAGGCCTAAGAAAAAGAGTGGGTGTCTCACTTTAATGTTTGGATATAGAAAAGAATTTGTGTCCCTTGATTGATATCAACATGAAGAATGGGAATGAAGGACACATCGGGTATTCGTTTAGTGGATGGTTGGGAGAAAATTAGGGCAGAGCCCCCTGCTAAATAAACGGCTAGGCCTGCAATTGTGCTTGAATCTCCTCCTGTTGAAAAGCATAGCACCACTTTCCTAAATGCAAGCCTTGGGATCAATTTGTTCACATCACATGCCCTATAAATATCGCCAACAGAGATCACATACACAAATAATTATTTTGACCGAGTTAAATAATTCAGTATAAATGCTGATAACGTTTTTTGGCGATTCATTTGTTTGTGCAAATGCATAGTAATATTGTAAATGGTAAAAAATGCTTTATTAATATATTATAATATTTATTTATTATAACATTTATTAATTTTTGCAATATTATATTAATACTAGTAAATGTATCATTATATAATTTTGATATTACTGTAATTTATTACTTTAAGTCTTAATTTATTATTGCAATAATTTATTACAAGATAATATAATATTATCTTATTATTTATTTATTATGATGTTTATTAATTTGTTATAATATTTATTGATACTAATGAAATGATATTCTTTTATATATAACTATTATAATTTTGATATTATTATATAATCATTTATGTGTATTATTGTTGTTGTTATTATTATAATATGATTTGGAGTATTATTGTATTATGAGTGTCAAAATAAGATCCGAACTGTCTAATTTCTTTATCATGCTGTGGGTGTCTTATTTTTAGGAAAATTTTGAATGTTTAGATTCTCTGTATGGCTAGAACTTTTTAAAATTTTAGAATTTATTTTGATTTTTGAAAAAATTCAATATTTTGATTGATATACTGTTGTATATAAATTTATATTTTTATTTATTTTAGAATTTTAAAAATATTAAATACCCCCCCCCCCTACCCCCCCCCCCCCGCCCGAAGCACATTATTACGAAACTGAACTGAAGAAGGCTCCTACGCAAATCTGACGACATGACATTGAAAGAGAGAGCAGTACCCTGTGGTGGAGATGGAACTCCCATCCACTAATGGAAGTTTCAGTGTCTGGTCAATGAAACCCTCGCCCTTTTTTGGTCAGCACGCAGTAGGTAGCCATGCAAAGAACACAGAGAAGAGACACATTAAACAAATGATTAGGAAACTTTCTATATGAAAACTACATACATAACCGAGGGAATAAGAGGTGCCAATAATCACATGAATCGATCACTCATGCCATTTTTTCCATCAAGTGGACTCGAAAGTGTAACTAATAGTAATTTCTTTTACTAAAAAAACATAAGACACTAAAGAGAGGAGAACCACAATAATCATGTCCTAGAAAGAGAGAGCATATTACAACACTCATTCCTAGAGAGAGAGTAAATACCACAATACTTTTCTTGTTCCCAATGACGATCTCAGTAGGCGATTTCTCATTCAATTGGGGTGTTTTTTGCTTTTGGGGAGAGAGAATGCAACACATAAGTTGTTCTAGAGAGAGAAAGCGTGTTATTCTAGAGAGAGAACACATACCAGGTCTTTCCTAGTTTTGTCTCAGTAGAGAGAGATATATATACTTCCATCCTACTAGGAAAGAAAGAACATAGCACAATAGTCATATGAGAGAGAGAGAGTGAGAAAATACCAGAAAAGTGATGTTGGTGCTTCCGAGTATGATCTGTGTAGGGAAGTGCCTATCCAAGGTAGTGGCCCCAACACAAGTGGCCCAAGGGGTCACATTCTCCACCAGTGAAGGGTCTGATCCTGAATTGCCCCCTGAAAAAATCACATGAATCCCCCTTTGCATAGCATGAAATGAACCAATATCAGCACTCGATGAAAGATAAGGCCTGAGAGGAGGTGAAGCCCCAAAAGATGCTGAAATCACATGAACCCCATCTTTAATTGCATCTTCAAAAGCTCCCAAAATATCAATCTCTGAGCAATAACCAGGGCTCCAGCATATTTTGTAGATCGCTAGCCTAGCCCTGGGTGCGCCACCCCTAGCCAAGCCCATGGCTAACCCACCAAACCCAGCTCCGGCCACCGGCGAGCCCACCGCTGTAGAGGAGGTGTGGGTGCCGTGGCCCAGTCGGTCTCTCGAGGACCGGAACTCGGGGTTCGAGCTTTTGTTTAGGGGTCCAATGTCGTGTTCGTAGCCCTTGATGTAGTACCGAGCACCGATGAGCTTCTTGTTGCAGAGACTGGGAGAGAATTGCTCGCCTGCGATGCACTCTCCCTTCCATGAAGATGGAACTGGACCTAGGCTAGGGTCTTCTCTGAAGCTTTTCGACTCTGGCCATATACCTTCATTAAGGGAGAGAGAAAGTGGTTAGCGATCACCTCAGCTAGGGTTTGATTTAGATGTGAGTGCATGCTTGTATCTTAAAACATGTTTGTAAGAGAGAGAGAGAGAGAGAGAGAGAGAGAGAGAGAGAGAGGGTTGGGAGGACAAGAAAGAAGAAGAAAGAACATTCATCATTCATGTGATAGTGCAAATTATACAGGTTCGATGGCCATGTGAAAAATAACAACAATCAACATAAAAAAAAAAAAACATGAAAAGAAATAGCACAAAAAAAACATCAAAATTTATATAGATAGTTACTAATGTTACTACATTCACAGGCAAAGATGACCAATACCTTCACTATCGTAGCTCGAAAGCTATAGAATGGCTCCTATACAATGGATCTCGATCACATAGCCAAAAACATATAAAGAACTTATATATATTGAATATGGTTTGTATAACGCTGAGGCCCTAAACAATTAAAATATGGTGCACCTTCAAATAATGTTGAAAGATGTCGTATCAGCACCAAAAATCGTTATGACAGACTGAAAGTAAATTTTCATATGTATTATGAAATTTCAAGCTTAAAAAATAGTGTACATCAAGTATATCTATGAACATTTGAAAATCTTAAAAATTGACGGTATAGATAAATGCATTACGAGATGCACTATTTTTAAGATTTGATGTTTTTTTATTTTTATGTCCATGTATCTTACGGTCAAGATGATTGGATTTCAGGGTTTCTCAGAATTGAAACTTCTTCTAAAGAATTTTTAAAGTGCACCTTAATTTGATTGTTTAGAGCCTCAATCTTATATACACTTTTTCCATATATATTTCAAGGGTGCAGTTGGCATATGGATGCATCTGTAGGTGTAGAAGTAAGGTGCACCTTCAAATTTTATCATGGTATGTAATTTTGATGTAAAATGTTCTTAGGATTATCTCAAAATCTATTTTTATATCTAATTATAAAAATTTAAATTTTAAAAATGGTTAAAATCAAGTAGATCTACATATGAAAATCTTGAAAATGGACAGTGTAGATAATATGATGTAAAATGCACTATTTCTGAGACTTAAAATCTTTTTATTTTTCATAGTCATGCATCTCGATGTCGAGATGATTAATCAAAGGATTTTTCAACATTAAAACTACCTTTTACGATGGATTTTTGAGGGGCATCCGTATTTCTACATTATAAGGTAGCATCCTTATATAAACTTTTTCCATATTTCAAACCCTCACTTAAGTCTAAGTAAACATAACCAAACACATCTTTATTCATACTTAGCCAATTAGAGCTGGAGGACCCAAGGTATGATAAATATTGGGTTACACTATAGAAGTCAGGGCATTGCTGCACACAAAACAAATTAAGGACAATATAACAAGAAAAATATGTCTATGCAACTTTAGAAACAAAAATTGCACATGTTAAACCTCTTGATCAAGCACTTTCCCATATAATCTTTGGAATTGAAATTTGTAGTTAAGAATATGAGCTTTGGAAACAAAATTGCACATATCGAACCATTTCATAAAACTATTTAAGTTGGGTGAAGTTTCTATGAAGCACCCACATTATAATATAGAAGGCACACCTTTAAATTTTTCTGTCTCAAATTTTACTTGGCCTGAAAAACTATCTTCACCCGAATTATAAAATTTGAAATTTTAAAAATGATGTAGATCGAACAAATCCATTAATATTTGAAAATCTTAAAAAAGGACGATGCATATTACTTGTTACAAGATACACTATTTGTCAAATTTGGAGAAAAAAAAATTTCCTTCATGGCCATATAATTCAAGTTCGAGACGACCAATTTGAGGATTTTATAACATCAAAAGACTCATTTTTAGTGGATTTTTGAAGTGTGTCTTACTTGCATAGTATAAGGTTGACACCTTATATAAACCTTTTCCTTTAAATTTTAAGTTTTAGGGCCTATAAGAGAGAGAGACCGGGACGCAATGAGCCTATTATCTTTTGTATTCAAAGTTTCCAAACAATCCAAGCCATTTAAGGTAAAATTTGATGGTCAGGGCATACAATTTATCTTCCAAAATTCAAAACTTTTGCAGACTTTGAGGTCAGTCAATAGTACACCCCAAGCCGTCCGACTTGACATCAGTCAGCTAGGAATGCTTTTGACCTTTGGCACTGAAGGTAAATGATCTTATTGTATACTTTCTCGTCGAGAGTCAGGAACCTGTATCAAAGACACCGACAATGATATCCTCCCCAAAAGCTTCTTGAACTGGAATAGCCTCGTCGTAGTCCATTGTTAACCCCATGAAATCCCAACTACGAGTGGTGTGAAGCTTAACGACCTTACTCTTAAATGAAGATATCACACCTTCCAAACCTACAACATGGTAATTTGTAGTTTAAGATATTTATAGATTAAGAAGACCAAACAAACAGCAACATTGGTGATGTCCCCTTACTAGCTAGAGTGGCCGCTTGTGTGGAGTTGAGTTTGGCAGCGAAACCTGAGAAGATGTGCTTATAACTATACACCATGGCTTCTTTGGCTTCATCCTCACTATCACATTGCACCAATTCATTGAGAGAGATGGCGTTTGGGGAGCGAATAATATTATCAATAACATGTTTCTACATGATGTGCAATATTATCTAAATTCCTTTATAGTTATTTGTGTGTGTATGTGGAGAGAGAGAGAGAGAGAGAGAGAGAGAGAACTATTATCAATGTTCTATTAAATGAGGAAGAAGGCATGTTAGGACCACGTTAAAGTTCCATGACAAGTGAAGTTCAAAGAAAAAAGTTTCATGACAAGTGTTTTGTGTGATAGAGAGAGAGAAGTTCGATGACAAGTGTGAGTATGATAGAGAGAGAGAAGTTCCATGACAAGTGTGTATGTGTGTGTTAGAGGGAGAGAGAGAAAAGTTCCATGACAAGTGTGTATGTGTGTGTGTTAGAGAGAGAGAGAGAGAGTCCGAAGTTGATACCTTGAAAAGACCTTAGACAGCAGCTGGAGATGGTATTTCGTAGTGAGAAGAGGATCATCTAAATGGTTGAGTCCTAAGTAGACTATATACACCTGCAAATAAAAAATAGAGGGGGAGAAAGGGATGGTGTCAACTCATATTAAGCAAGCATGGAAGAGGAAAAGGAAAAGGAATGGGGCATTTGCATTTGTGGGGTGGGAAGTTACCTCATTTGTGGCCACTAGAGGGGTATAAAAAAGTGGAAGAGAGAAAAAGATGACCAAATATGCTTTCAAAAAAGTGGCCATTTTCTCTGGGGTGGTGAGGTAGAGTGAAGGCGGTAGGGTAGGGCTTTAATAGAGAGAGAGAGAGAGAGTTAAGAAGGAGGATGTGATGAGGGCAGCGTGCAGAGAAAGGATGGGAAAGCTGCTGTAAAGACTAGTGCACCCCCATGGGACCATCATGACTCATCCTTGCCTATCTATTCCTAGCTGCACATCACAAAACTTCAATTCAAAGATTATGCACTTCCCTCAACCTAAACACCTCTCTCTCTCTCTCTCTCTCTCTCTCTCTCTCTCTCTCTCTCTCTCTCTCTCT